AGGGATGGCGAATCGCGAATAAGAATCCGAGTAGACCAGGGTTCCCAAAGGTGATGAAAGACAGATAGTTGAATTCTCGCCTCACAATTACAGCGAATTTCACACCGTCTTGCCTCTCCTTCAATAAGGGCGTTCAGATAGGAAAGTTACGGTTGGTTAGTGCTATTCCAGCCTATATTTGTGTGATCGTTGATTATACCAACACCCGTTTGCCATTTCAATCGTCGGTGCTACCTGATTTCGACGCGAGTAGCCTTGGGAGGCTTTGTGAATGTGGAATTCAATGCTGCCCGTAGGCCAACTCGTCTGATTTTGGGAAAACCTAGACGCCTTGAGCAACTAGGTTTAAATTAGGGAGTTTACTGATAGTCTCGAAAGCAACTCAAAGCGAGGTTAAGAAAAGTTTGACTGAGCGTCTTACTATTCGGATGAACCTGTGCAAACTGGCAATCACGCCCGCAAGGCAATTTTACTTCGATTTCTGATAGAGCTGATGTATCATTTCTTTGAACCTGCCGAACTTACTCTGTGCAGGGATTCTTAGAAATCCATCTCATGTCCATACCTCTTTTCGCCACCGAAGGGTATGCACTGCTCGTGTACGTCAATTAGGCAAGAGTAAGATCTCGAGAATACTAACAGACCTTGAATGGAAGGTTCGCCTGTCCTAGGTCGGTTGGGCCACTTCCATCCAAGATGGACTGCAACCCCGACATTTACTCAGCGCCCTCAGCGGGGATCCATTCCTATCGGAAGAGTATAATCTTGTTTGTGGTAAACTGTTTTTTGAATGTAGGATTTTAAGACTGTAGGCAGATTATACATGAGGTGTGTTAACCCCATTTCATTAAAAATGATAAGGGGACTAGTAGCTTAATTTTGCCACAATTATGCAAGTAGATACGACAATAGACTTGCTTTTCCTAAAAGAATTCTTATTCAGGGTGGACTCTAGTTTGGCATCATCAACACGACCGGCAGGAGCCGAACCATGACAGTGCAGTCATGCAGCCCACCCCAGAGGAGGGTACCTTGTGGGAAAGCAAGGCCATGTAGGATTCAGCGAAGTGGAGTCTACTCGACATCTCGGGGAGGAACAATTGCAATTCGCACAGCCATTTTGAAAGAAATGGTACGAATACACCGGATAGGTCCGGTCAAAAATCGACTTACATTACCACGGTCCGACTTTGGAAACAATTATGCATACAAATGACTCAGGACAAGGTGCGTTCCGCTAAGTCTTCCTATCAATATGACCAAGTTGCGAAAACAAGGTCAAACAACTTCTATACAACGCAAGTAGACTGTGACCACAAAAAAGACCACACCATCTTGGTCTTCATACTTTCGAAAGTTGAGCGGTGTTCAATCACATCATGAGGCCTAGCCATTTAAGTGTGGCGGTCACAGTTTGGAAGAATCGACGTCTGGTCGCGACGGCAAAAGCGAAGCAAATGGATGAGGTGATTTTGGACTTACCAGGAAATTGACAGTGAAATGGCCTATCTTCCGAGTCGACGTGAGTGAACTGGTGTACGCCGGTCGTGAGGAAGGCGGCCCCAGAACACCGGCGCTTGGACTTGGAGGCTGTCGGCGGTTCGTTCGACGCCTCCGACGGGTTGTAGCTTCTTCGCAGGGGGCTCGACGTAGCTTCTGCGTGCCCGGGCGCCCCCGAGGCGGGTGCGCTCGCGAGATGGGGAGGCGTCGAGGCGTGGGCTCGCGACACGACCGACTGCGGGCAGGCGCGGTCGCGTCTGGCCACAGCGCGCTCGGTCCGAGCCCGGCCGGCCGTCCGAGGCGCCGGCGTGGCCACGGGCAGACTGAGCCGGGCGCAGGGATGGTACCGATGGTCGTCGGGTCGAGTGCCCGACTGCGCCTGGGCCTGCGGGTCGGCGTAGCTGACGAGCGGAAAGACGGCCAGCCGAGGGCCTTCGGCGAGCGCGGCGGTGGCCGGGGGGTGTCCCGTGAACGTGTGTTCGTGGCCGCCGGCCGGCCAGCGGTAGATGGAGGCGGGACTCGGGCCAGGGCCGAGTCGGACGTGTGAGTCTGCCTCGACTTGGTTGGGACAAGCGTGACCGAAAGCTGCGGGCCCGGAGGAGGGATTGCGGAACTGGTCGTGCGGCAGCCTCAATCCGGGCATCGGTGGCATCGTCGGTGGCGTCGGGGTGGCGGGGGTCGCGGGCCAGGGTTGGTAGGGCGCCTCGTAGGTGTGGGGGAGGTGGAGATGCGGCGCGGGCGGTAGGTCGGCCCGTCGGCCGGCACCGCCGACGCCGGGCTCGGAGGCGTGGCCGAACGTCATGGACTCGTAGAACTGCACAGTCCCGATGCGAGTCATGCGGGTTATCGCTGCGGCCTCGTCCCTCGCGCCGGGTTCCCCGGCAACACCAGCGCCGGAGCTCGGCGCAGGCAGAGGACACATGCTCACCGGCTCCGTGCGATAGAGGGCTTTCGGCCCGTCCCCGGGCCCCGAGTGTGGTCGCGTCGGGGTCGACATGTGTTGACAGGGCGGGGCTCTTCTGCCCTCGGAGCCGCCGACGGGCCCGCCGGCGTCCTGGAGCCCGGGGCCCATTTCGCCGGCCGAGGCTTCCCACAGCGGCGGACTCGTCTGCATCGAGAGGCTGGAGCAGGTGGACGAGCCCAGGCTGCCGGGCGAGCAGAGCTCCCAGCCGGAGACGAGACCGCCCGTCTGCCGGGCCCGGCCCGACTGCCCGTTTCCGGGCGTCGGAGCCGGTCTGCCCACAGTCCGGCCGCCGCCGGTGTGACCCGGGCCCGAGATCGAGCCCGGCCCGGGCTCGGGCCAGCAGTCGATGGGGCAGCCGATCTGATGACACGACTCGGACAGCCTGGTCCTGGGCGCCGGACGATCCAGGTCGTACGGCAGCGACTCGATCGCCGCGTGACACGTCGACAACCAGGCGGACGGGTCGTAGCAGACGGCCTTCTCCGAGTCCTGGTGACGCAGCAGAAGCGCCTCCAGCTCGGACTGGTTCTCAGTGTTTTCCTCCTCCTCTCGTTTCATTGCCAACTGGTACGTGGCCACTTGGTGCGCATAGGCAGGATGCAAATATTGCAGCAATTGCTGCTGCTGCTGTGACTGCTGCTGCTTCATGCATTGCTCGTGTCGGCCCGACAAGGCGGGCCCCGAATGGACAAACTCGCGCCGGACTCGGCGATGCGAGATCGTCTCGGCGAGATACACGTTGGCCGATTGTGACGCCTGAAGCACGGGCCTCGACCAATGGGCCTGTGGGTCGGTGCTTGGACAAAAGTGCCGTCCAGCCTCTGCTGTCTGGGCCTCGCCCGTCAGGACCGAGCTCTGCTTGGCCCAGTCGGTCGGCGGAGCCGAGGCAAGACGAACAGCACCGGCGAACTGATCAACCGTTTGTAGCCTCGGATAGTTTGACAGATCGACCTGAAATGGATCGTGAAAAGGAGGCGAAGATGACGCCGAAAGCCTGGAAGGTCTCTTCTCCGCCATGCAGGCGACTCCGAATCCACCTACCTTTTTCTCTTCTACTCCCAACCCTTCTTCTTCCCCTCTTTTCTCTCCCTCTTCTCGCTCGACTCGAACTTTTTCAACTCCACCCTCATGCTCGCCTACACCTACATCCCCATCTTCATTCTCATCCTCCTCGTCCTCGTCCTCGTCTTCCTCTTCCTCTTCCTCTTCATCTTCATCTTCATCGTCATTCTCTTCACCTTCTCCATCATAACCATCATTATCGTCGTCATTGTTCTCCCCATCCTTCCTCTCGCTGGGCTCATCGCCTGCGAGCTTGCCGACGCAGCCACCGTCGAAGGCAAGGCAACCGGTCGACTGAAGACGGAACGCCTCGTGGCCGGAAATCAAGAGGGCGTCCGAAGAATGGCGGGTCGGGCCAGAGACCATCTGTCCGGCGGGAGGCCTTTCGTTTCCAAGTTCGCCCGGGAAGATGGGCGAAATGGGCAAACCAGGATAGACATTAGTCTGGGCGGCATTTTCAAAGGTGGGACACCAAACTAAATCGGGAACCAAACGGCTCTGGTGGTCATGGTGTTGAAGATAGGACATGATGCTACTAACCACACAGAGGTGGAATGTCGAGCCGAAGAGGACAGTTGCGATGGTGCTCGACGGCCGTGTGAGGCGGTTGCAATCGCAGTCGAAAGTGACGCCTGCGGCCTATCCTTGTCTATGCGAAGTGGAATTGCTGACACAAAAATCGGCTGATTTAGCCCCAAAGTCATCAGCCAATCAGAGAACAGGAAAAGTTTGTCTGGTGCTCAGGTCCATGATGTCTCTTGTGCTGCCCACTTTTGCCGTAATCCGATTGGCTAGTCATTGGGTTCGACGGCTCAGGTGGATTGGTCTAGACCCTGGACCAAGGCAGACCGCGATCGGAGGGGTAAGGAAAACAGGTAAATAAGCTTGACGCACGAACGGCCGCTAAGGCTGCCCCACCCACCACAGGCCCTTGCACCGTTTAGCCTGGATACGTGAAGTCGGAGAAATTAGTCAACACATCCGAAATATCCCGGCCTCCTCACACCCTCCACATTGGCCGGGTCTCCCGCGCCTTCGCCGACGCCTCGTAATAGTGACATAACATTGTTGGGCTTACTTCCATTTCGAGTGAGTGTTGGGTGAAGAGAGATACTTAATCAAAGAGGCCAAATGTTTGTTGGGTAAATATACCACTTTTTAGGGATTTGCCGGTGAGTTTTCTTGACTCGTTAGCTTGAATTGTGTT